GATAAAGAACAAATAGGAAAATTTAAAAATCTAACATGTTTCACTTTTATTATTCTTCATCAGAGAATGAGATATGGAGAGAATGAGTACACTTTTAGTTTCAATGTTCAAGATATTATTTGGGATAATGGAGATCAAATATTGATAAAAACTGACAGAATGATAAGATAAAGTTTCAAATAGGAAGTTTTAAAATCTAACATGTTTTTCTTTTATATTTCATCAGAGAATGATATGAATGATATTGATTTTTACAATTTTGACAAGATATACAATTTTAGAATCCGACAGAATGATAAGATAAAGAACAAATGATGATGAAATGGAGCTTCATGTTGAGATATGGAGAGAACTTAAATCCTTTTGAAGTGTTTTCAATATTTAGACAAGATGAGCCAGATCAAATGGAGATTTATGGATTAGAACCGACAGAATGAAAGAAGAACAAATAGGTGGCAAATATAATCTAAACATTTTTTGACTTTTATTAAAACTTCATCAGAGAATGAGATATGGAGAGAATTTTTTTGTTTTGAAAATTTCAAATGTTTCAGACAAGATACCAAATGATCAAAATGAATCAACTTTGGATTAGAAGTGACAGAATGATAAGATAAAGAACAAATAGGAAAAGTTTACTCAATCTAACATGTTTGGACTTTTATTAAAGCTTCATCAGAAATGAGATAAGAGTACATTGTCCTTTTGAAGTAGTTTCTTGATTTAGACAAGATGATTTGAGAGCAAATGGAGATACATATGGCGGATCGGAACTGACAGAATGATAAGATAAAAGAAAAATAGAAACGTTTATCAATCTAACATGTTTCACTTTTATTAAAGCTTCATCAGAGAATAGATATGCATGAAAGAGATGGATAGATGACAGAATTTTGAAATTGATAACATGTTTGATTTGAAAAAGATGAAAATGTATTAGATGAAAATGATGAGAAAAGATGGATGGGATTCGAAGTTAGAAACTGAGAATGATAAGATAAAGATGAAATCAGGATTGTTTGTCATTATGATATAATATTTTTTAAGATAAAAAAACAATGCTTCATTTATTGGTCCCAAAGAGATATGACAGAACAGAAATTACAATTAATTTATGAATCAAAAGATCAATTAAGATATTGTAGATGAATGCTTTTGAAAAAGCTTGGTATGGAATATAAAATGAGATTATGTTCTGACAGAATGATAAGATAAAAGAACAAATAGGGAAGTTTATCAATCTAACATGTTTCACTTTTTATTAAAGTTTCATCAGAGAATGAGATATGGAGAGAATGCTTTGTCCTTTTTGAAGTATCAATAATCATGTTCAGACAGAAGAAAATAAAAACTGGGATCAAATGGAGCATCAACAGACTCGAAATCGATAGAGGAATAAGATAAAGAATAAAAAAAATCTTTATCATATCTATGCTTTCATGATAAGACAAATTGTTTTATTAAATGTTTAAAAAGATCATCAGAGAATGAGATATGTAGAGAATTCTGTTGTCTTTTGTAAATATTTCTCTTTCAGACATGGATGAGGATTCATTATGAGAGCAAATAACAGATAAGAAATAAATTTTATCTATTAATTATCTGGAGAAACCTTTGTTTTTATTTATATCAAATATAGATAACGTATATATATATATATATAAATAAAGAACAAATACCTTGATAAACAAATAGAAAAGAAGATAAATTAATCCTTCAAAAACAAAATGAGAATAAATACATCTGTATGTATGAAGTTTTTCAATGTTTAAGGAGATGAGCTGACCAAATTGGAAATTAAATCCTAGGATAGAATTTAAACAGAATCTTAAGATAAAGAACAAATAGGAATCATTTGTCAAAAAAATGTTTATCTTTTATTAAACCTGTCATCAAAAAATGAGATATAGAATACTTCGTTTTCCTTGACTTTTAAAAATAGCAAAAAGCCGAGATCAGAATGTCATTGTATTGATAGTTTTACCCTGAAGGCAAGATGAAGAATAATGTTCAATTTACATTTAGGATTTAATATATTATATATCACAAGAGATTAAAGCTTCATCAGAGAATGAGATATGGAGAGAAAATGTTGTTTTTTTGAAGGTTTGGAACCCATACAAGATGAGCTGATTTCTAGAAGGAAAACCAGTAGACGGATATACTGGGATGATCATATAAAGAGACAATGAGACGTCTACATTTCAATCTAACATGTTTCTGGTTTTTAAAGCTTCATCAGAGAAAAGCTATGAAACACAATGGAGTTAAAATTATTTTGTATCTACATAGATCTAGAATCTTATGGAGATCATAAAACTATAATGAATGATAAGATAAAGAACAAACAGGAAACGTTTATCAATCTAACATGTTTTATTTATAAAACTGCCAGAAGATATGAAGAGAAAATAATTTAAAGAAAGATATATTTTATTTTTTGATTGTGATATATATATTTATATATTCATTATATACAGGAATATAAAATTTTAAAGATTTCAACCTTAAAAATATTTATCAATTATCTAAATGATCAAGATTAAGAAAAATATTAATAATATTAAAAACTTCAAAAGATAAAGGTTTTTTTTCTCTTACCCAATTTGGCTCCATTAATCAGCGTGTTTTGATTTTTTTTTTTTGGTTTTTTCTTAAACGGAAGCATTAATTGAGTTTCTTTGCAATTTATCATTGTTTCCCAACCTTTGTGACATTTCCATGAACACATTCTTCGAGTTTTTCAGTTTTTTTATGACGACTTTTTAAATCAACTCACTAAAATTTCAATTTGGCAATTGTGAAAGAAATGTTTCTTTTTTTAAATTGACAAAGTTTAAACAGATACAAACTCCGACCGCTTTTAGTATGTTTTGTTTAATATCTTTTTGTTTTACCTAAAATATATTTACAATAACAAAATTATTGCTGAACGATTTTAAATAAATAATTTTAAATCAAAAGGGATCAATTAAATTATTATCATCTTAAAAATTTAATAACTGCATCGGTCATAAGAGAAACTCAGACAGAAATAATCTAGAATAGAGATACGCCCAATAGTGACATCCAATTTCGATAAAACTTATATTCATTATTCAGCCATTATGCAAAATCTTCTTCTCATTTATGAAAAAATTGCTTTTGAATGACTAAATGAAAATCGTGTAAAATTATATATTTGTCTGTTATCAAATTTGAAGATAAAGATTTTGATTAACATAATTTATTATATTTATTTCTACGGTTTAACGACCCTTTGAAAATTATTTAAATTTGAAAATATTTTTAGATTGCAAGAATTCATTTAATTTCCTATTTACAATAAGAATTAATGACACATCTTATTAATAACCCATGGGGGATATTAATTAGTTCATACATATAAATATGAATATAAGAACAATGGCAAAAATATATCTTAATAATCAAGGGTTTTAAGCTAAATAACCCGGAAATCAAAATGGTTTAACATTCGGTCTATCTGTCATTTTGTACTATTCACCCGGAGGATTGAAAAAAAGATATAATTCTGTGATTGGGAGGATGGAGATAAAGCCCCATGGAGGGTATATAAAAATAAATATAAAATATTGGATGTATTAATATATATATGGTGTGTAACTGGGTTCTATGTGTGTGTTTATGTTTATTTGTTATATATTTTTAATTTATATATATATATAGGCATATATATAGTTATATATATATATATATATGTGAGTGTGTGCGTGTGTGTGTGTTTGAAACTGTTCATGTTGATTTTTATATTCAATATTTACATTTTTTTGTATAAAAATATTTCTCATCATTCGGCCTTTTTTATCTATATTTTTTTAAGTAAATTTTTTTGAGAAATTTTTGAGCGTGAAATTTGCAACCAATATTAATGCATTCCGGAAATAGAGGATTTTTTTTTTTTTGATCGCTTTTTTTTTTGAATAAAAATTTTTTTTTTTAGTTTATGATTCAAAATTGAGAATGAAAAAATCTGTAAATTTTATTATGAAATCAAAAATAGTTTAAATAGAAAAGGTATTATATTTTTCAGATAAATATTTTCTTATATATTAGTGGAATTAGTGAGAAAATCATGTTTTCCTATAAGAAACGGATTTGAACTTTTCCAACAACAATTGAGCCAAAATTTAGTTTGACTTTAAAAGACATTTTCATTTCGAACTATGATTCAGTGGATTTTGATTTTATAAATATCAAAAGTAATGAGATTGTTTCTTTTCACGGTGACTCTAAAGTTTATTTCGAGCATAATCTAAAATCGATCTATGATAAAATATTTATTGATATTTTATAAAAAGTGGACATTGAGATCAACATATATATATGATGTGTCTGTTTACGTTTAAACACAATATCAGACCACAGACAAGGTCATTTTTTCATTTAATTTTTTTTCAGCCATTATTTACAAAAAGAAAATGAGAATTTTTTTATGGCGTTTTGGTGTATCGTTACTTTAATATCTTTTTGTTTAACAAAATGGCCACTACGATTACGGTTAATCATGTATGTTGTTAAAATGAATAAAATGTTTAATCATCAAAACCTGAAACACTGTTGCCGCTGGTGTTGACCTCAATTCCACTATATATATATACGCCATTTAAATCTATCAATCTCTTTATCCCTAATATCTTAAAAGAATATTTTATCATAGTAAATATTGAAGACAATCAGGGAAAACTTCTATTCTGACAGGAATAATGAGATACCAGTAACATCAAAAAATCCGACAGAATGAAGGATAAAGAACAAAAAAATCCAACAGAACGTTAACGAGACAAAATGGATTCAAAAAAAAGAGACTGAAGGAACAAAAAATTTTTATTTTAATGATCCATCGTTATAAAATCCGACAGAATGATTTTAACAAAAGAATGCGACAGAATGATGTGAATTCAGTTTATATTTATATTTTTTTTTATTTTAATGTTTAAGGAACAAAAAATCCTTTGAATGATCGGATTCAGTGAACTAATTTAGGGAATAAACAAAAGAATCCGACCCAATAGGATATGGAACAAATTAATTAGAGGATAAGGCATGGCAACAGGCATAGGATAAGGAACAAAATCGTCCGACAGAATGATAGGATAGGAACTAAAAAAAGAATCCGACAGAATGATGTGATATGGAACAAACCTCAATCTTACAGAATGATAGGATAAGGAACAAAAGAATCCGACTTGGAATGATCGGATATTATTATTATTAAAAGAATGCGACAGAATGATGTGATATGGATTGGTGTAAAAAATCGGAAGGAACAAAATTTCCGACAAATGATGGGATATGGAACAAAAGAATCCGACAGAATGAAAGGATGAGGAAAAAAAAAAATCCGACAGAATGATGGGATAAAGGAACAAAAAAATCCGACAGAATGATGTGATATGGAACAAAATCCAACAGTAATAGGAAGAACAAAATCCCGACAGAATGATCGGATAGGGAACAAAAGAATCCGACAGAATGATCGGATATGGAATAAAATAATATAATAGATATGATGGGGAACAAAAGAGAAAAGAGACAGAATGAGGGATAAGGAACAAAAGAATCCAACAGAATGATAGGATAAGAACAAAAAGAATCCAACAGAATGATAGGATCAGGAACAAAAAGAATCCAACAGAATGATAGGACAAAAACAAAAAATGCGACAGAATGATGGGATAAGGAACAAAATTAATCAACAGAATGATAGGAAAAGGAACAAAAGCTAAAATCCGACAGAATGATAGGATAAGGAACAAAAGAATCCGACAGAATGATAGGATAAGGAAAAAAGAATCCAACAGAATGATAGGATAAGGAACAAAAGAATCCGACAGAATGATAGGATAAAGGAATTAAAAGGAACAGATGGGATCTAACAGAATGATGGGATTTTTGTCAACAGAATGATAGGATAAGGAACAAAAACGAGAATGATAGGATGAGGAACAAAAGAATGCGACAGAATGATAGGATATGGAACAAAAAATCCAACAGAATGATAGGATAAGGAACAAAAAAATCCAACAGAGATAATGATGGGATGATGGGATAAGAACAAAAAAATCCAACAGAATGATAGGATAGGAACTTGATCCCAACAGAATGATGGGATGGAGGAAAGAATCCGAAAATGATAGGATAAAAACAAAGAATCAGACAGAATGATAGGATAAGGAACAAAAGAATCCGACAGAATGATACACACACACACAAAAGACACAGAATGATAGGACACATAACAAAAGAATCCAACAGAATGATAGGATAAGGAACATTAGAATGCGACAGAATGATAGGAGGAACAAAAGAATCCGACAGAATGATAGGATAAGGAACAAAAGAATGCGACAGAATGAGGATGAGGATTTGGAAACAAAAAAGGATAAGGAACAGAATGACAGGATAAGGAACAAAAAGAATCCGACAGAATGATAGGATAAGGAACAAAAGAATCCGACAGAATGATAGGATAAGGAACAAAAGAATCCGACAGAATGAATAAGGAACAAAAATCCAACAGAATGATAGGATAAGGAACAAAAGAATCAACAAAAGAATCAAACAGAATATAGGATAAAGGAAGAAAAGAATCCGACAGAATGATAGGATAGGAACAAAAGAATGCGACAGAATGATAGGATGGGGAACAAAAGAATCCAACAGAATGATAGGATAAGGAACAAAAGAATCCGACAGAATGATAGGATAAGGAACAAAAGAATCCGACAGAATGATAGGATAAGGAACAAAAAGAATCCAACAGAATAATAGGATAAGAACAAAAGAATCCAACAGAATGATAGGATAAGGATAAAAAGAATCCGACAGGAATGATAGGATGAAGGAACAAAAAGAATCCGACAGAATGATAGGATAAGGAACAAAAAGAATCCGACAGAATGATAGGATAAGGAACAAAAAGAATCCGACAGAATGATAGGATAAGGAACAAAAGAATCCAACAGAATGATGGGATAAGAACAAAAAAGAATCCGACAGAATGATAGGATAAGGAACAAAAGAATGATCGGATAAGGAACGACAGAATGATAGGATAAGGAACAAAAAGAATCCGACAGAATGATAGGATAAGGAACAAAAAAGAATCCAACAGAATGATAGGATAAGGAACAAAAAGAATCCAACAGAATGATAGGATAAGGAACAAAAGAACGACAGAATGAAAGGATAAGGAACAAAAAGAATCCAACAGAATGATAGGATAAAGAACAAAAAATCCAACAGAATGATAGGATAAGGAACAAAAGAATCCGACAGAATGATAGGATAAGGAACAAAAGAATCCAACAGAATGATAGGATAAGGAACAAAAAGAATCCGACAGAATGATGGGATAAGGAACAAAAGAATCCAACAGAATGATAGGATAAGGAACAAAAGAATCCAACAGAATGATGGGATAAGGAACAAAAGAATCCAACAGAATGATAGGATAGGAACAAAAAGAATCCAACAGAATGATAGGATAAGGAAAATCGGAAACAAAAGAATCCGACAGAATGATAGGATAAGGAACAAAAGAATCCAACAGAATGATAGGATAAGGAACAAAAGAATCCAACAGAATGATCGGATAAGGAACAAAAGAATCCAACAGAATGATAGGATAAGGAACAAAAGAATCCAACAGAATGATAGGATAAAGGACAAAAATCCAACAGAATGATAGGATAAGGAACAAAAGAATGCGACAGAATGATAGGATAAGGAACAAAGAATCCGACAGAATGATAGGATAAGGAACAAAAAATCGACAAATGATGGGATAAGGAACAAAGAAGACAGAATGATGGGATGAGGACAAAAGAATCCAACAGAATGATAGGATAAGGAACAAAAGAATCCAACAGAATGATGGGATAAGGAAACAAATGGAAGGAAAGAATGCGACAAATGAAAGGATAAGGAACAAAAACAGAATGAAAGGATAAGGAACAAAAGAATCCGACAGAATGATAGGAACAAAAGAACAAAATGATGGGATAAGGAACAAAAAGAATCAACAGAATGATAGGATCGGAAGGAACAAAAAAAATCCAACAGAATGATAGGATAAGGAACAAAAGAATCCAACAGAATGATAGGATAAGGAACAAAAGAATCAACAGAATGATAGGATAAGGAACAAAAAGAATCCAACAGAATGATAGGATAAGGAACAAAAGAATCCAACAGAATGATAGGATAAGGAACAAAAGAATCCAACAGAATGATGGGATAAGGAACAAAAAAGAATCCGACAGAATGATGGGATAAGGAACAAAAGAATCCAACAGAATGATGGGATAAGGAACAAAAGAATCCAACAGAATGATAGGATAAGGAACAAAAGAATCCAACAGAATGATAGGATAAGGAACAAAAGAATCCGACAGAATGATAGGATAAAGGAACAAAAAGAATCCAACAGAATGATGATAGGATAAAGGAACAAAAAGAATCCAACAGAATGATAGGATAAAACAAAAGAATCCGACAGAATGATAGGATAAGGAACAAAAGAATCCAACAGAATGATAGGATAAGGAACAAAAGAATCAACAGAATGATAGGATAAGGAACAAAAAGAATCCGACAGAATGATAGGATAAGGAACAAAAAGAATCCGACAGAAATGATAGGAAAAGGAACAAAGAATCCGACAGAATGAAAGGATAAGGAACAAAAGAATCCGACAGAATGATGGGATAAGGACAAAAGGAACAAAAGATGGGATCCGACAGAATGATAGGATAAGGAACAAAAGAATCCAACAGAATGATAGGATAAGGAACAAAAGAATCAACAGAATGATAGGATAAGGAACAAAAGAATCAACAGAATGATAGGATAAAGGAACAAAAGAATCCAACAGAATGATGGGATAAGGAACAAAAGAATCCAACAGAATGATAGGATGAACAAAAGGATGAGGATAGGATAGGACAAAAAAAGAATCCGACAGAATGATAGGATAAGGAACAAAAGAATGCGACAGAATGATAGGATGATCCGACAGGATAGGGAACAAAAGAATCAACAGAATGATGGGATAAGGAACAAAAGAATCCAACAGAATGATAGGATAAGGAACAAAAGAATCCAACAGAATGATAGGATAAAGGAACAAAAGAATCCAACAGAATGATAGGATAAGGAACAAAAGAATCCAACAGAATGATAGGATAAAGAACAAAAGAATCCGACAGAATGATAGGATAAGGAACAAAAGAATCAACAGAATGATAGGATAAGGAACAAAAGATCAACAGAATGATAGGATAAGGAAAAAAGAATCCGACAGAATGATAGGATAAGGAACAAAAGAATCAACAGAATGATAGGATAAGGAACAAAAGAATCCAACAGAATGATAGGATAAGGACAGAATGATAGGATAAAGGAACAAAAGAATGCGACAGAATAAGGATAAAGGAACAAAAGAATCCGACAGAATGATAGGATAAGGAACAAAAAGACAGAATGATAGGATAAGGAACAACAGAATCCAACAGAATGATAGGATAAGGAACAAAAGAATCCGACAGAATGATAGGATAAGGAACAAAAGAATCCGACAGAATGATAGGATGATCCGACAGAATGGATAAGGAACAAAAGAATCCGACAGAATGATAGGATAAGGAACAAAAGAATCCAACAGAATGATAGGATATGGAACAAAAGAATCCAACAGAATGATAGGATAAGGAACAAAAAGAATCCAACAGAATGATAGGATAAGGAACAAAAGAATCCGACAGAATGATAGGATAAGGAACAAAGAATCAACAGAATGATAGGGATCCAACAGAATGATGGGATATGGAACAAAAATCCAACAGAATGATAGGATAAGGAACAAAAGAATCCAACAGAATGATAGGATAAGGAACAAAAGAATCCGACAGAATGATAGGATAAGGAACAAAGAATCCAACAGAATGATAGGATAAGGAAGAAAAAAAGAATCCGACAGAATAGGATAGGATAGGAAAAAAAAAAGAATCGACAGAATGACAGAATGATAGGATGAAGGAACAAAAGAATCCGACAGAATGATGATCGGATAAGGAACAAAAGAATCCAACAGAATGATAGGATATGGAACAAAGAATCCGACAGATGAGGATGAGGAACAAAAATCCAACAGAATGATAGGATGGAACAAAGAATCAACAGAATGATAGGATAAGGAACAAAAGAATCCGACAGAATGATAGGATAAGGAACAAAAGAATCCAACAGAATGATCGGATAAGGGATCCGACAGAAATAGGATAGGAACAAAAGAAATCCGACAGAATGATCGGATAAGGAACAAAAAGAATCCAACAGAATGATAGGATATGGACAAAAAGAACAAAAGAATCCAACAGAATGATGAGGATAAGGAACAAAAGAATCCGACAGAATGATAGGATAAGGAACAAAAGAATCGACAGAATGATCGGATAAGGAACAAAAGAATCCGACAGAATGATAGGATATGAAAAAAAATCCAACAGAATGATCGGATAAATCAAAAGAATCCGACAGAATGATAGGATAAGGAACAAAAGAATCCGACAGAATGATAGGATAAGGAACAAAAAGAATCCGACAGAATGATGGGATAGGAAGGAACAAAAGAATGCGACAGAATGATGGGATATGGAACAGAATGAATGGGATAAGGAACAAAAGAATCCGACAAAAGATCGGATGAACAAAAGAATGCGAGGATATAGGAACAAAAGAATCCGACAGAATGATAGGATAAGGAACAAGGAACAAAATGATGGATATGGAACAAAAAGAATCCGACAGAATGATAGGATAAGGAACAAAAGAATCCGACAGAATGATAGGATGAAACAAAAAGATCAAACAGAATGATAGGATAAGGAACAAAAAGAATCCGACAGAATGATAGGATAAGGAACAAAAAGAATCCGACAGAAACGGATAAGGAAGAATGAATAGGATATCGGGAACAAAAGAATCCGACAGAATGATAGGATAAGGAACAAAAGAAAAGAATCCAACAGAATGATGATGGATAAGGAACAAAAGAATCCGACAGAATGATAGGATAAGGAACAAAAGAATCCGACAGAATGATAGGATAGGACAAAAGGAACAAACAGAATGATAGGATAAGGAACAAAAAGAATCCGACAGAATGATAGGATAAGGAACAAAAAGAATCCGACAGAATGATCGGATAATGGAACAAAAGAATCCGACAGAATGATAGGATAAGGAACAAAAGAATCCGACAGAATGATAGGATAAGGAACAAAGAATCCGACAGAATGATCGGATGAAGAAAAGAATCCGACAGAATGATGGGATAAGGAACAAAAAGAATCCGACAGAATGATAGGATAGGAACAAAAGAATCCAACAGAATGATAGGATAAGGAACAAAAGAATGCGACAGAATGATAGGATATGGAACAAAAGAATCCGACAGAATGATAGGGATAAAGAACAAAAGAAATCCGACAAAGAATGATCGGATAAGGAACAAAAGAAATCCGACAGAATGATCGGATAAGGAACAAAAGAATCCGACAGAATGATAGGATAAGGAACAAAAAGAATCCGACAGAATGATGGGATAAGGAAAAAAGAATCCGACAGAATGATAGGATAAGGAACAAAAGAATCCGACAGAATGATCGGATAAGGAACAAAAGAATCCGACAGAAGAATGATCCGACAGGATAAGGAACAAAAGAATCCGACAGAATGATCGGATAAGGAACAAAAAAGAATGCGAAAGAAATGATACAGAATGATAGGATAAGGAACAAAAGAATCCAACAGAAATGATAGGATAAGGAAACAAAAGAATCCGACAGAATGATGCGACAGGATGATATGGAACAAAAAGAATCCGACAGAATGAATCCGACAGAATGATCGGATAAGGAACAAAGAATCCGACAGAATGATAGGATATCGGGAACAAAAGAATCCGACAGAATGATAGGATAAGGAACAAAAAGAATCCGACAGAATGATCGGATAAGGAAGAAAAAAGAATCCGACAGAATGATAGGATACAAGGAACAAAAGAAATCGACATGAATGAATAGGATATAAGGAACAAAAAGAATCCGACAGAATGATAGGATGAACAAAGGAACAAAAGAATGCGACAGAATGATGGGATATGGAACAAAAAGAATCCGACAGAATGATAGGATAAGAACAAAAGAATCCAACAGAATGATAAGGAACAAAAGAATCCGGATGATCGGATAAGGAACAAAAAAGAATCCGACAGAATGATGTGATAAGGAACAAAAGAATCCGACAGAATGATAGGATGAAATGGAATCGACAGAATGACAGGATAAGAACAAAAAGAATCGACAGAATGATCGGATAAGGAACAAAAGAATCCGACAGAATGATCGGATAAGGGACAAAAGAATCCGACAGAATGATCGGATAAGGAACAAAAGAATCCGACAGAATGATGGATAAGGACAAAAAGAATGACAGAATGATAGGATAAGGAACAAAAGAATCCGGCAGAATGATCGGATAAGGGAACAAAAGAATCCGACAGATGATGGGATGATCCGACAGAATGATAGGATAAGAACAAAGAATCCGACAGAATGATAGCCGGATAGAAAGAACAAAGAGAATCCGACAGAAACAAAAGATCCGACAGAATGGGATGAAAACAAAAGAATCCGACAGAATGATATGATATGAAAAAGAATCCGACAGAATGATAGGATGGGAACAAAAGATCCGACAGAATGACCGGATAGGAACAAAAGAATGCGACAGAATGATGGGATGGGAACAAAGAATCCGACAGAATGATGGATAAGGAACAAAGAATCCAACAGAATGAATGGATGACAGAACAAGATCAAAAGAATCTGATAGTGTGATATGGATAAGAATCTGAGCAAATGATAGGATCCGACAAAGAATCAAACAGAGGGATATGAACAAGAATCCGACAGAATGATAGGATGAAGAACAAAGAATCCGGATGAATGATGGGAAATGGAAACAAAGAATGGATCAGAAATGAGAGAATAAGGAAGAAAAGAATCAAACAGAATGATGGATAAGGAACAAAAATGTAAAGACAAATATGGATGGAATGACAGAATAACAGGAATGATCGAACACAAGACAGGATGAATTGGAACAAATGCAGTTCAAATATGGATCATGGATCAGAATCCGACAGAATAATAGGATAAAGAACAAATAGACAGGATGAATTGGAATCAAATGCAGTTCAAATATGGATCAGAATCCGACAGAATAATAGGATAAAGAACAAATAGACAGGATGAATTGGAATCAAATGCAGTTCAAATATGGATCAGAATCTGACAGAATAATAGAATTAAGAACATAGAGACAGGATGAATTGGAATCAAATGCAGTTCAAATATGGATCAGAATCCGACAGAATAATAGAATTAAGAACATAGAGACAGGATGAATTGGAATCAAATGCAGTTCAAATATGGATCAGAATCCGACAGAATAATAGGATAAAGAACAAATAGACAGGATGAATTGGAATCAAATGCAGTTCAAATATGGATCAGAATCCGACAGAATAATAGAATAAAGAACAAAGAGACAGGATGAATTGGAATCAAATGCAGTTCAAAATATGGATCAGAATCCGACAGAATAATAGAATTAAGAACATAGAGACAGGATGAATTGGAATCAAAGAGCAGTTCAAATATGGATCAGAATCCGACAGAATAATAGAATTAAGAACATAGAGACAGGATGAATTGGAATCAAATGCAGTTCAAATATGGATCAGAATCCGACAGAATAATAGAATTAAGAACATAGAGACAGGATGAATTGGAATCAAATGCAGTTCAAATATGGATCAGAATCCGACAGAATAATAGGATTAAGAACATAGAGACAGGATGAATTGGAATCAAATGCAGTTCAAATATGGATCAGAATCCGACAGAATAATAGAATTAAGAACATAGAGACAGGATGAATTGGAATCAAATGCAGTTCAAATATGGATCAGAATCCGACAGAATAATAGAATTAAGAACAAAGAGACAGGATGAATTGGAATCAAATGCAGTTCAAATATGGATCAGAATCCGACAGAATAATAGAATTAAGAACATAGAGACAGGATGAATTGGAATCAAATGCAGTTCAAATATGGATCAGAATCCGACAGAATAATAGGAATAAAAGAACATATAGACAGGATGAATTGGAATCAAATGCAGTTCAAATATGGATCAGAATCCGACAGAATAATAGAATTAAGAACATAGAGACAGGATGAATTGGAATCAAATGCAGTTCAAATATGGATCAGAATCCGACAGAATAATAGGATTAAGAACAAATAGAGGGATGAATTGGAATCAAATGCAGTTCAAATATGGATCAGAATCCGACAGAATAATAGGATAAAGAACAAATAGACAGGATGAATTGGAATCAAATGCAGTTCACATATGGATCAGAATCCGACAGAATAATAGAATTAAGAACATAGAGACAGGATGAATTGGAATCAAATGCAGTTCAAATATGGATCAGAATCCGACAGAATAATAGAATAAAGAACAAATAGACAGGATGAATTGGAATCAAATGCAGTTCAAATATGGATCAGAATCCGACAGAATAATAGGATTAAGAACAAATAGACAGGATGAATTGGAATCAAATGCAGTTCAAATATGGATCAGAATCCGACAGAATAATAGAATTAAGAACAAATAGACAGGATGAATTGGAATCAAATGCAGTTCAAATATGGATCAGAATCCGACAGAATAATAGAATTAAGAACAAAGAGACAGGATGAATTGGAATCAAATGCAGTTCAAATATGGATCAGAATCCGACAGAATAATAGAATTAAGAACAAAGAGACAGGATGAATTGGAATCAAATGCAGTTCAAATATGGATCAGAACCGACAGAATAATAGATTAAGAACAAATAGACAGGATGAATTGGAATCAAATGCAGTTCAAATATGGATCAGAATCCGACAGAATAATAGAATTAAGAACAAAGAGACAGGACAGGATGAATTGGAATCAAATGCAAAGAGACAGATGAAGTTCAAATATGGATCAGAATCCGACAGAATAATAGAATTAAGAACAAATAGACAGGATGAATTGGAATCAAATGCAGTTCACATATGGATCAGAATCCGACAGAATAATAGAATTAAGAACAAATAGACAGGATGAATTGGAATCAAATGCAGTTCAAATATGGATCAGAATCCGACAGAATAATAGAATAAAGAACAAATACAGGATGATTTGGAATCAAATACATGGAACATGAATGGAATATGGATCAGAATCCGACAGAATAATAGAATTAAGAACATAGAGACAGGATGATTTGGAATCAAATGCAGTTCAAATATGGATCAGAATCTGACAGAATAATAGGATAAAGAACAAATAGACAGGATGAATTGGAATCAAATGCAGTTCAAATATGGATCAGAATCCGACAGAATAATAGAATTAAGAACATAGAGACAGGATGAATTGGAATCAAAATTCAAATATGGATCAGAATCCGACAGAATAATAGGATAAAGAACAAATAGACAGAATGAATTGGAATCAAATGCAGTTTCACATATGGATCAGAACCGACAGAATAATAGAATTAAGAACATAGAGACAGGATGAATGGAATCAAATGCAGTTCAAATATGGATCAAGAATCCGACAGAATAATAGAATTAAGAACAAATAGACAGGATGAATTGGAATCAAATGCAGTTCATATATGGATCAGAATCCGACAGAATAATAGAATTAAGAACAAATAGACAGGATGAATTGGAATCAAATGCAGTTCAAAATATGGATCAGAATCCGACAGAATTTTAGAATTAAGAACAAATAGACAGGATGAATTGGAATCAAATGCAGTTTAAATATGGATCAGAATCCGACAGAATAATAGAATTAAGAACAAAAGACAAGATGAGTTTGGATCAAATAAAGATCAAATATGGATGGAAATTGTTTGAATATATAAATTATATATATTATGAATATATATGCTATAAATATATATATATATATATATATATATATATATATAAATTTTCTTTGTGTGACAGTGTGTGTTTAGTGTTCTCACGCGGTAACCTTGTAACTTTTTTAAGATTAGTTTTAAGGTATGATCCTTTGATGATCCAGAAACATTTCACCTTGATATGGCCTTAAGCCTGGGAACGTCTAATATATTTGAACAATGAATCATACTGAATAATTTAAAATTATTTCTGAATTAAAGATTAACGATTAAGCTTTATAGAAGGGAAAATGTATAAATATATATAATTTATATATATATATATTTATATATATATATAAATCTGAGTTTGTGTCCTGGATTTGAATGCGTCATGAACAAACGTTTGTTTTATAAAATTGGGATTTATGCTTGTTTGACTATGTTTATTTGACTGGGTAAATATTAGACCAATAGCCTGAAGTAAAAATTTTCTGAATTGCTTATATTTGGTTAATATAGTTCCTGCATAGATATTGTTATAAAAATATATATATATATATATATATATATATATATATGTGTGTGTGTCATGCAAGCATGTGTGAAGTTTATGCGTGTGTAATTTTAATTTTAATTAAATGATCAAACTCACCTTGAATCTTAAATATTAACTTGAACAATTGATCCACAACGGATTCTGTAAATCAAAAATGGAGACAATAAAATTAATAATTTTGATAGAATATGTTTCTCATTGGCTAAAACGATACGATAAATCATTCTGAATATCTGCGTTTATCTGATTAACGGAAAATGACTTTAAAACAGGCGCCTAAATATTAAACAAATGACGAATTTCTGCATAGAATTGAATGGATTGAGGCAAATTTCCACCTGTCTTGGGCTAATAATTAAATAGAAATTTGATTTATGGTAAAATTGAGATAAATAGATTAGAGAATGGTCAGATAAAAGGAATCAGAGCTGAAATTGAAATCTGATTGAATGAAATGACTGTGTTGGGCCTGATATTGAAATAGACTGATATTGAAAAGTTGGATTGAGGCAAATTTTTAATTCCTATTTATGGTAAAGATTGAAGTAGACGAATTTGATTGTCTTTGCGTAGTTGGTTTCTACAAGATGATTCTTTGCGTCCCATGACGGAATATTGAGCACACAACAAAGGAAACTAGTTCTTATTTTGTCCCATTGTTAAATGGACGCATATATATATATATATATATATATATATATATATATATATATATATATATATATATATATATAGGCCACTTTAGTGACAGAAGAAACTGCGTTATTTCACAATCGGCATCCGTGGTCGCTGCTTCATTCCAGTAACGGATTTATTTATTTTATTTTTACGGTTTATCAATCTACTAGGTTATTTAAAGCTGACGCCTATTTTGGATTGTAGGAATAATTCATTTTTGTCAGTGAATATTGCATTTACATTTTTTTTTTAAAGAATAACATGAATTTTTCCAGATACAATCCTACAATTTAACCTATAGTTGGTGAGGAAAAATGGACCCATACCTTTCCTAAGTCTAGTCCAGTAAGATCTTCAAGCCATGGTAAATGGCATTGTACATTGTTTATTGTCCAATTCATTAACCTCCTTGCTGGACTAAGTGAATAACTTTGAGGAAAAATAGTCTATTACTATACAACAGCAAACTATTCTTCTTGCTCATTCAGAGTATAATGAATTCGATTCGTAATAGGCGCGTACTTTAGTAGCCCGTACTGAGACTATGCTTAGAATGAATTATTTTCTTGTGTGTCTCGATATGGACTTAGTTAGCAAGCTTGTCTCTCAGCAGTGAGTTCAATTCTACTTTGAATAGCTAAAACTTGTGACCTTGTGCCAGACTTAGTAAATTCGTATGTAAGTGACGTATACAATATCATATTTTGGTGGAGGCATGTGATTGAGTTATTAGAATGTTGTTCACAGTTCCGGGTTCGAATCGTACCTGTGTCGATTTGTCAGGAAGGTAATCTCTTAATAATATGAATCTGCGGAGACGATTCCAGCTTGCGGTACCATTGGAAAGTGCCTGAAAACCATAGCCACGTTTTGACACAACCCATGCAAGTGAAATTAGGAAAGCGAAACTATTTGGAAGCCGCCTGTGATTGTGCTAGCACGAAGTCCCAAGTCATCGTGACCGAGGGTTCAAGCTTATTGGCCTTTGTTTATCTATTGACCACACCAGAGTATATGTGCTCTCCTAGAAACAATAACACAGGTCCATTCAGTATAGTAGCAGTATAATCCGCAGGTTGGCTCTGTGCGTGTTAGATAAACAGAAATGAGTCTAATCGGGTGTCTGCAACAGGGATTGATTAGCCGCCCTAGGAGACAGGTATATTTAAATGATAAGTTAAAAGATAAAAACGTTTGACCCCCGCCCGAAAAAAAAAAATGGATGTGCGGATGGTGTAATGGATAATCGCTCAGGAATTGTTAACCGGAGAGCCGACTTACAATTCCTGTTGGACCTGTTACGCGTAAATACCCTTGGAAAAGATATGAATCCACCCCCGCCCAACTAAATCATTATGAATCCAACTCCCCTCACTAAACCATGATGAATCCAACTCCCCTCACTAAACCATTATGAATCCAACTCCCCTCATTAAACCATTATGAATCCAACTCCCCACTAAACTATTATGAATCCAACTCCCCTCATTAAATCATTATGAATCCAACTCCCCCTCATTAAACCATTATGAATCCAACTCCCCCACTAAACTATTATGAATCCAACTCCCCTCATTAAACCATTATGAATCCAATTCCCCACTAAAATATTATGAATCCAATTCCCCCACTAAACCATTATCATCTGCAAAAAAACAAATTGTTACAATCTAAAAATATTTTCTGGCTTTAAGTAACTTTCAAAGGGTTGATAAGCCGTGAAAGATAGATTTGTCAACCAAGTTGTGTTTGAACTGACGAGAATTAAAACGTACCTCTATGCACAATGTGGTAATAAAGGACAATTCTAATTATTTCCTCTAATATAACACTTCATAAGAACATAGGTACAGTTCATTTAATATTCTTACCTGTAATTTTTTTATGCAAATGCATTTGATAAAGTACGTCACAAAGGACTGTTTGAACTTCCAGGTAACCTTGATATATTTGGGAAGAATATTAGAATAATCCAGACCTTATACTGGCAATAAACCGCCTGCATACGGATAGAAAATGAATTCAGCCAATAGAAAGTGTTGTAAGACAAGGATGTGTCTTCTTGCCAGACTTATTCAAACTATACAGTGAGGTGATTCTGGGAGAATTAGAAGTCCTACCAGGTTTCATTATTGTCGGTCACAATCTTAACAACATAAAGTATGCAGATGAATAGTATCCATAGCGGGACACAGAAGGAAACTACAAGAAATTCTACAGGATGCAGCAAAAGGAAAGCGAGAATAAAGGACTAAACCTCAAATGCAAGAAGACCAAAAACATGTTTGCTAGCAAAAGAAACAACCCAACACACACATTACAAATTGAGATACCAAACTCAAACAACAATTTAAATATCTTGGACGGAAAGTGTGACACTGAAATCTGAAGGCGCATTGGGAACGTGATGCTTTCCAAAGCAAAGCAAAAGTATTAAGAAACAGAAGAAAAAAAAAATTCGTTAGAAACTGAGAAATGAGTACTCAACTATTACGTAATATCTGTCCTCAGAAGATTGTCCAGCACCCACTTCCATATAGGCAGTGGATGCTGGACAATCTCTTCATAAATGAAGAAGACGCTGAAGCAACAGATAAGTGGTTCAACAGAATGATGCTGAAAATAACGTGGACCGAACATGTGAGCAAGGACGAAGTTCTAGACGCAATGGAAACAAAAAGGACACTTATACTTAACATCAAGAAGAGATAGTTGACATTTCTAGGGCACATAATGACGAAAGGAGGCTTGTAAAATTTGATACTCACAGGAAAGATTAAAGGTAAGAGGGGCAGAGGAAAACAACGAGCTTGAGGAAATCGATGGCGAAACAAGTTTTAGGAGAGATCACAAAAAGATAAAAATTTATTATAAGCCACAAAGGACAGAAATTTGTGGACAGTTATTACTGTCAACTCCAATTGAAGAGACACGGCATGAAAAAGATGAATGCAAGTAAAAAACAAAAACAAACAAAAAAAACATGAGGGTCAAGCAGATCAGTTCCAGAAAACTGACAGCCCGACACCAGCACATGAGATTTGATTATAGTGGTGAAGGCCTCGTGCAGGACCATCCACACTTTTTGAAGGGACGAATACAGAGACCTGGTGCACCAAATGCCACAAGGTTCCCAAACGACACGCCGCAGGTTTTGAATTCAGAGTTGTCCTTCTCCTAGACCAGTTGCTATCCAAGGCTATAGAACCCAGTCTCTCCTGCTATTTTACCCATAGCTGGAGGGAGAAGAAGAGAATTCATACCTTTCCCAAGAGTATTAGCACGTAAGTAAATGTAATGGATTCGAGTGGAATTCGAACTCAGCTCTCATGAATCCTCAATCCAAGCAGTTATCCATTACTCCACCGTGCCTCCTATATATATATATATATAAATAAAACACATAATCTCTGGTATGGAGACTTCTAGTGATTCAGCATTGGCAGGCATTTTTTTTGCTTTTTAGGTACACTCCTTTGAAAAAGGTGGAGTTGTTTCCAGTTCACTGATAACATTCTGGTCACACATGCAAATTATTCTGGTGCCCCCTCTCCTCCAATAATGGTGATGTCCTGGCTTTTCTGTCTTTAGCCACACAAGTATCCCTCCACCATTCAGTGGGCTTAGTTGGTGTTTACACATTATGAATAAGTCAACTCTCCTCAGTGCAGCTAGTCAAAGGGTTATAAAATGCCTGTGTCACTAAATAAAATTACTGACTACCTGATGATTACATGCACCACCACTGGTAGTGGTTAGTCAAAAGTAAGCCAGATTATATTATATAGGTACATCCAAATATTCACTAAAACAGGAGAATACATAATGAAAAAAAATTTGCCAAATTTAATAAAAAAAAGTTTTATTATCAAAATCTTTGTTATTATTAAGAGGAAAGATCAAAGGATCCTTTGATCATTAACTTATATTTTCAATCCTTTTGGAACCTTAAAATTTTTTGTTTTTCTTGTGTCAACAGGGGATCATAAATTAGCATAGAAATTTTAGCGTCTTTTTGCAGTGAAAAACACATTTTGGAAATTCTTGTAAATCAAATAATTGTAGATTTTAACAAAACTTGAAAGTTTTGCTAAAATTTACACATGAATGAAATTATTTTTAAATGTTTTTTTTTTTTTTTTTATAACATCCCCACTTATTTAATTTTATGAAATTTCAAGAAATTCTTTTTTGGGTTACTTAGTTTTAATAGAAGTCCTTAGAGAATTTAAATAATCAATTTCTTTTTGTTAAAACAGGATCCCCAGTTACTGAATTGCTTTTATGAATAAGATAAATTGTGGACCTATCATCTTAAAAAAATGTTTTCAAAGAATAAGAATTTTTACAAGAATTGTTTTCATTTTTTTTAAAATTTTAATCATAATAATTTATAAAGTTTCAAATCTTAAAATGCTGTATTAATTTGGGCTGATTATGTGATATTAATATTAAGTATAAACTGTATTTACTAATCATAAATGGAAGAGCTTACTACAATTCAGTGACCCCCAGTATTTTAAAAAGTATTTTGATTTTTGTGTGTGCTTGTGTAAATACAGATGTAATAACTTTAAAGCCAAAGTACCTAAAATTCAATAAAATGTTAGATTACAGAGAGTATTTTCCTGAGTTTTTACAGGGTAATTCAAAAATCATATAAAAAAGACACTCACAATATATTTGTTAAGTAATTTTACAGATATATCCCCCATAGAAAAAAAAATTAGTTAAATTTCTGGTTGCCAATAAAGCTTTCAGACTGTCAATAAATTTTTTCATCACTTCATAAAATCACCTACGTCCAATGTTAAAAAATGCATTTCTGCAATGTTTTAAACTAAAAGTAAGTAATATTTGTTTCAAATTAATTAGTTTCAGATTAATTAAACTTTTAAAGCAGATAATATTCTTCAAATAAAATTTCAAAAAAATATAGATTTTATTTTTGAAAGATTTTTTAAAAAGAGAATTTATGGATATTTAAAAAAAAAAAAAAAAAAAAAAAAAAAAATCACTATATATTGTTGATTTTAGCCATTGTCCTGACAGATGGCTAAAATCAGCTTACATTCAGTGATTTTGAAAAATAAGAACTTTTAATCAATCTCAATTTATTTTGAAATACAGCATTGTATTTTGCTTATTGAAATATTAAATTTAATCTATTAGCTTGAAATTAAAACTAAAATGAAAATGAAAGCTTCAAGAAAGATTTTTCATTTTTAAATATTCATTTTAAACCTTACATATGACATTTCGTTGGAGGTACATATTATATATATATATATATATATATATATATATATATATATATATATATACTGGTTTCTACTTTAGTAAATTTCTCAGTGAAATAAAATAAACTTACTAAATATTGCAATATAGCAAGAGACTCAACACAAAGCACAATAAAATAAAGATTAATATTTGCCAAAATTATTAATATTCATAAAAGGAATAGAAAATAACAATTGATATATGATATGTAATAATTTAAAGAAGTTTTGTTTAGCAAGATGAAAATGTTGAAAAAAAAAATTTTCATTAATGAAAAGTTTATTTGAGGATAACAACATTTGTCTCAACAAGTTTAGATTGTTTGGTTTATTTCGTTTAGAGGCATATCAACTTCTATGGGTTATCTAATACCGAAATCTATTAAATATTTTGAATGTAATTGTATGCCTACAACTGCAGA